TTAACAAGGTTCGGGAGGAGCGCGTCAGATACTTAGCCTAATTAACACAGGTGGAGCGCACTCAAGTTAATCAACACCATGGCATAAATACAGCTGACTTACCTCTATCCATTGACAGTTTATCAGCATCCCTCATCCGCCCCATCTCCTCACTTTGAGTTCATACTACACTTATACGGGGGGGTACTCTAGGTTAGGACCATTCCCGAGCTCGGAGCCCTTCCCCGGACAGCACGCCAAATATGCATTACCATACTTCAGCTAGTTATATGTAAGTGTGAACTTGTGAAATGTAAGAAAGAGTTGAAACTGAACACAATCTTGCTACTCAAGCTGTGTTAGAATTTTTTTTTATATGTATTTATTTGCTTCTTTTCCATTTTGCATTTACTTGTACTTTTACTTTCAATACTTAAGTATGTTTAATGAAAAAATACTTTTCGTACTTAAGTAGAATAAATATCACATACTTTAAGACTTTTACTCAAGTAATATTCTAAACGGTGATTTCAGCTTCTACCAAAGTCATTTCCTGGTAAGATATCTGTTCTTTTACTTGAGTATGGCTTTCAGGTACTTTATACACCACTGCTGGCGATTCTGTCTACACTGGATGCGGCACGGATTGACACAACAAATCCCAGACAGTAAACCGATGTCCCGGTATATATCTGACATACAAGCATTCGCGCTGCTTCTGACCTGAAAGAGAAATTGATTCGCAACATGATGCAACAGCGCTCGCGTCCGAGATATGAATCACAAGGAAATCAATTCAAATACTGTTTTTCACAAAATAAATAAATAAATTAATTAATTAATTTTCCACACTACACAGTGTCTTGTAATCTTGTAATGTCATCTGTATGGTTCTGTTGATGGAGTAAAGGCCCCGATATACTTCAAGCGAAATCGAAGAACGAACTGATGTGACATTATTTTGAACAAAATCCGGCCAAAATGAAGTTCGTTTTGGGAGTTTGAAACGGCTTGCCAAAGTGAACTTTACGGAAAAGTTCATTCCGGCTGCAAAACACCTTCGTACTACCATTGGTCCATGACAATTACGTCATAGTAGATGTGCACTAAGGCTCCGCCTTCTTTCACACGGAACTCTTCTCTGGGTTCATTTCGTCTGTCTAATCCTTGGAGGTGAGATGTCCGGGGGTAAAAACATAAACGCAGTAGAGCAAATTAAGTTGTGCTTCTGATGAAATGAGACACTAAAACTGTTTTTCATGTTTAATACTGACATACACTGAACAAAATTATAAACGCAACACTTTTGTTTTTGCCCCCATTTTTCATGAGCTGAACTCAAAGATCTAAGACTTTTTCTATGTACACAAAAGGTCTATTTCTGTCAAATATTGTTCACAAATCTGTCTAAATCTGTGTTAGTGAGCACTTCTCCTTTGCCAAGATAATCCATCCACCTCACAGGTGAGGCATATCAAGATGCTGATTAGACAGCATGATTATTGCACAGGTGCGCCTTAGGCTGGCCACAATAAAAGGCCACTCTAAAATGTGCAGTTTTATCACACAGCACAATGCCACAGACATGCAAGTTTTGAGGGAGCGTGCAATTGGCATACTGACTGCAGGAATGTCCACCAGAGCTATTGCCCGTGAATTGAATGTTCATCTTCTCACTGACAACATAACGCCGCTCGCATCATTCACAGTGGGGTTATTAGCAGAGAACACAGAGCAGGACTTGAATCGCCCACAGATCGCGATAAGGAGAGTGACAGCTTTTAATAATTATTAAAGGAGTTTATCGGCGTATATGACAGCGTGTTCCAGTTCCTGCCAATATCCAACAACTTCGCACAGCCATTGAAGAGGAGTGGACCAACATTCCACAGGCCACAATCAACAACCTGATCAACTCTAAACTGAACTTTTAAGTTATGAAATTATTAAATTACTAAGAGTAAAATGGGTAATGATACCCACTTAACTTTATATTTTAAATTTATTTTAACATTCAATATGCCTTAATTGCAACTATTAGGTTAGGTTTGTTTACACATGGTTATAACATGTTTACTATAGTGGTAACCATGGAAATCTACAAATACTATAGTTTGAACTACGGTCACTTTAGTAAAATCATGGTTCATTTTCATAAGGGACTGCCAGTGACAGGCTGTTGCATGCATTAAATGCAACCTTTTTGTGTATGATTTATACTAACATTACAGAATAGAACATGATCAATATGAACTTTAACGTTACATTTAAATAAATGTAATTGCACGAACTATGTAGGCTACAATTTCAGTTTATTTATTGTGAAATAACTCAAACATATATATTTTTTCTATCCTGTGATAAGCATTGTTCTGGGTTGCCGTTCCCAAAAGCATCAATGGTTTCTTATGATACTTTTGGGAAACGCAGCCCTGTTTGAATGCACTGTCAGAAGTGAGTGAACGCTCTCTGTGATTGATTGGTTTTGTCTTGCAGCATTTGCGTGTGTTCAGATGAGCAGGAAACTAGTTCTATCCTACACAATTATTCGCTAACATAGGTTATTCGTCCAATTTAATGCATGTTGTACGCATTAATTTTTGTTAAATAAACAAAATCACTGGTAAATAAAACACCTTTGTATCGATATTTTTTTATTTGAGTATCGATACTTTCGATACTCGCATCAGTATCGATATATCGGTACTTCAGGATCGATACGCTCATCCCTAGATATCAGTTGTTAAGGATAAAAGACTCAAGGTGTGTTTAAAATATTCCTATTTGTGTTTAAATAGTCCTTCTTGTCGAGTCGAGCCAAGTCTGAAGTCATTTTAGGTTGAGTCTGGAGTAGAGTCTGAAGTCTATTAAAATGCGACTCGAGTGCCCATCTCTGCCATTGGGTAATGAAAAGTTCTACACACACTTGTGGTCTTCATGCTCACTTGAACACTTGGACCAAATACAGGAAATACGTCATATAAGTAGTCAAGTGGTCAAGTGCAAAGACCACAAGTGTGGGTATTTGGACAAGGGGACTAACTCGAGTGCCCGTCTCTGCCATTGGGTATAATGAAAAGTTCTACACACACTTGTGGTCTCCACGCCCACTTGAACACTTGGACCAAACTCAGGAAATATGTCATGTAAGTAGACAAGTGGTCAAGTGCAAAGACCACAATTGTGGTTATTTGGACAAGCCCATACTTTGTGGTCATGTACTAACACTTTGGAGACCAAATTGCCAATGGATATCCAAATGACAGGCAGGTAAAAACTTATATGCACACAGCTGATGATCTCTGTATTATACAATGATTCAACAAGCAGTGAAAAATAACAGTACTCAATGAACTATAATAACATTACCTCTTATGGGAAGTAAATGTGTAATATCAAAATAAAAGTTCTACATTAAAAGTATTTTTTTTCCAGTAGCCTTTTATACAATAAGCATAACATTTGTTGCATTACAAACACCTTTTTAATAAGGCAAATTATTCACATGACAGTTCTGAGGTGTGACAAGAAACATCTAAAACATTTCCAGTGTACAAAAATTCTTCAGAAATATCTCCATACCTCTGAAGTCTTGAGATTGAACAAAATGATTTCAGTTTCTGTCTCGATCATCGGTCATTGTAAAATATGTTAACTCTTTTTACTTGTCCTCTCGGTTTTCACAACCATTAGCCATTTATAGCCTTGTTGAGCAGTCAGTGAGAAGCTGCTGCATTTCATGATGCAGAAGTCATGATACATTTCTGCAGCACTTTTTCCTATTGAAATAAAAGGTTGTAGTCCAGAATCAAGTAAGCACATTATTTTCACTGTGAATTGTTGTCATTTTACAGAAATACCAAAACCCAAAGTGATCATTAAACCTGATCAACATGTATTCAGAGGAGAGACAGTCACTCTCAGATGTGACATTGATGGTGAAGGAGTCACTAGCTGGCAGTACAGCTGGTATAAAGATGGTTCAGCTAATGCTTTCAGTGAACTGCAGGAACACACATTCAGTCCTGTTACTGAGTCAGATGCAGGTAAATACTCCTGTTATGGAGCAGAGAGAGAAGGATCATGCATATCAAACATGAGTGATGCAGTTACACTGACAGTATCAGGTGAGTTTGATCATCTCTTCACACACACAAACACAAACACATGTTGGTATTGGTGGTTTACGGGGACTCTCCATAGACGTAATGGTTTTTATAGTGTTCAAAATGTATTTTCTATCACCCTACCCGAACCCTACACCTAAACCTACCCCTCACAGAAAACTTTGTGCATTTTTAGATTTTCAAAAAAAAAAAAAAAACACCATTTAGTATGTTTTTTTAAGCCTTTTGAATTACAGGGACACAGGCAGTGTCCTCATAAACCACCTTCACATTGTAATACCTATGTCATTGCCCATGTCATTATACAAATTTGTGTCTCATAAACCACCCAAACCAGTGCATGTTTACATGTGGTTAATGAGCGATTTCTCTGTTTCAGATACAGCCCTAGCAGTTTTAAGTGTTTCTCCACAGAAGTGGTTGACTGAAGGAGATCCAGTGACTCTGATCTGTGAGGTTTACGGCTCCTCTACAGGCTGGACATTCAGCTGGTGCACTGTGACTCTTTCATCAGGTATAAGTTATAATATGCTTCATGTGATAACATCAGAATTAACTGGTTTTATTAAAATAAAATACTGCTTAAAGTTTACCCCTAAATTAAAATTAAGTCATCATTTACACACCCTGGTGCTATTCTAATGCCGTATGCCTTTCTTTCTTTTTCGAAAAAAAAAAAAAACAAGTCCCGCGCGTGCTCCTCCATATAATGGCAGTGGGTAATGATCAGCATCAAGCTTTCGAAAAAAGACGCAAATGAATGGTTCCATGCGACACATGCTGTAGCCTATATTTCAGGTGTTCTGGGGGTACACGATATACACTGAACAAAATTATAAACGCAACACTTTTGTTTTTGCCCCCATTTTTCATGAGCTGAACTCAAAGATCTAAAACTTTTTCTATGTACACAAAAAGCCTATTTCTCTCAAATATTGTTCACAAATCTGTCTAAATCTGTGTTAGTGAGCACTCAAAACTTGCGACATCTGTGGCATTGTGCTGTGTGATAAAACTGCACATTTTAGAGTGGCCTTTTATTGTGGCCATACGCACCACCTCCTGTCAGAGAATGAACTTGCATTTTTATTCAGCCCATCTGCTGATTTTGTTCAGACTAATGCGAAAATCAGACCAAATTTTTATGCAGCAAATGCGCAGTGCTGTCAAATTTAACTGGTCACTAATATGATTATATATAAATATATATATATATATATATATATATTAAGAAAAACTAATATGTGTTCTAAAAATCTAAACAATTCGAATAATAAGGTATCTAGGCTTTATTCACGTATTTTGTAGTGCCCATAATAACACCATGCATGACACTGACACTGTTGGCACAAGCGTCTTCTGGCACAGTGTCTTCAAAACGTTCACGAAATGCCGAATTAAACACGATGCAGCAACCACCATTTCAACATCATCTTTTTAAAATTCATCACTTACCGTTGTCTTGCTCACTTTCTTGCCCATTTTTCCTCTTCTCTGCACTAGATTGATAGTGCTGCGCCACTTTGACAGGAGGGGGCCTTGCGTAATTTGCAGGGCCCTACGCAACTTGCATAGTGAGCGTATAGGGCCACAACTCTGCCCACGACAGGTGTTTTAAATCCCAAATAATTAATAACATGCCCATATTTACCCACAGTCATTCACTCCAAACACATGAAAATTTACATGGACCCTATATGACGTTCGCGTTCATGAGACTCTATTAGCACCGCACAGAGCTCACTCCGACTCGCCCAGGAAAAGCACACAAGTTGTGAGGAATCAAGAAATAATACGCAACATTAAGAAAATGCAACATGAAATACAATGCCTAGAAATCCCAGAAAATATCTGTGTACTTTCATCAAATCACATTTTGTGTTGTCTTTTTTTATATTGATTGGTGTTTGGGCCCAGCTAACACGTGCCAGTGGCGGACCACCGGTGACAAAGTTGCCGGCCAACCAGGGGACACCAACCGCGGTTCACTGGCGTTTTGCTCATCGTTGTTCTAGTGGACCACCAGAGGCAGTCACCATTTCTCTGACAGTGGTCCTCTACTGGGCCGCTGTTTTATAATAAATGTTTGCTGGCTGCCCACGGTCGGTCCATGGTTCATAATTAATTCCTCAAACTACCCAAAATGTTCTTCCACACAATAATAAATCAAAAACGTTATACACCACTCTCAGTAACAGCAAATGTATTAATATTTTCAATGAACATAATATACAAATACATTTACATTTACATTTATCAGATGCTTTTATCCAAAGTGACTTACAAATGGGGAGCATTCAATTCATGATTATTTGTACTCTTTCAAAAATTAACCATGGTTTTACAGCATTTGTAGTAAAACCATAGTATAAACAAAATAAATCACATTTTTACTACAACAACCATGGTTTAACCATGACTGTTGCAGTAAAACCATAGTAACTACAAAATTTACCATGATTTAAAATAAATATGGTTACTATAGTCATGGTTACCTCAGTTGTACTCTAGTATTACTACAATATTACTATAGTAGAACCATGGCATCAAAACCATGGTTTGAACCCCAAAAAAAAAAAAAAAAAAAATGTCATGGTTGCTACAGTTTTACTATAATAAAACCATGGTTAATTGTCCTATAAGTATAGGTATAATCGCAATCAGATTTTTTTCTACATCCCGTAGTAAACATTTTATTTGTCTTCTTTAATTTGGGAACAGACACAGTCTCCATGGAATAGACTACATATGCCATAGGAACACAGGCCATCATAACTACAATTTACAAAACCGTTCACAAATTTGGGATCAGTTAAGTTTTTTTTTTAGTTTTTTTTTTACGTCTTTGAAAGAAGTGTCTTGTGCTCACCACAACTCCATTTAGTGTATCAAAATACAATAAAGCAATAACATTGTGAAATAATATTACAATTCAAAACAACTGTTTTCTTTTTGAATATATTTTAAAATATATTTTATTCCTGTGATGCACAGCTGAATTTTCAACATCATTACTCCAATCTTCAGTGTCACATGATCTTTCAGAAATCATTCTAATATGCTGATTTAGGTGATTTGTTTAGGCATACGTTTGTGCAATGCTGAAAATATATTTACCTTTTTTTTAAAATAATCCATTAAACCTGCTGAGATACAAGAAGCCTTAACTAAAATTCTCAGTCCTGGAAACTCATGAATATTCATGTATGCTCTGCCCACTGAAACCGAAAATCTCAGAAACTGAAAATCTCGTAACACTGGGAAAAACGGGAGTGTTAACAGGTATGCACGTGAACCGATCATCTCTCCCTCTTTACTAGTTAGCATGAAATAACATGAATGAACATAAGAAGGTATCTTGTTTTAACCGCGGAAAGACATCAATACACACCACTTTCAAGTTCAAGTTCACAGACATTTATCTACTCTACTATCTTGTTTGTTTGTCGGACAAAATGACAAATTCAGCATTATGATTAGTCGGATCACATGTCAATCAAACTCCCTGTGAAGGGTCAGTTGCTGTGTCTGACTGATCTGAATGCTCAAACAAACCGATAAATGTTTTGATAGTGCTAACATTCATCCAACGAATTACTTAAATCCACCTCTGCGTATTAGGCTGAGCTAGGAGACATTAAAGGGTTAGTTCACCCAAAAATGAAAATTCTGTCAATAATTACTCACCCTCATGTCGTTTCAAACCCGTAAGACCTTCTTCGTTCATCTTCGGAACACAAATTAAGATATTTTTGATGGAATCTGAGAGCTGTCTGACCTTGCATAGACAGAATTCCAGAAACGTAGCAATGAGATTTGTAAAATAATCCATGTGACATCAGGGGTTCAACTGTAATTTTACGAAGCTACGAGAAAAATTTTTGTGAGCAAAAAAAACAAAAAAACTTTATTCAACAATTCATCTCCTCCGTGTCACCCTGTAGCGCCATTTTGGAGAGTATCAGCTGGACGTAAACAATGTATGCTGTTCTGTGTCAGCTGCATCACGCCAGATCTGTTTCCTACGTTGTTGTGATTTGATCTGAACGAAAACAACGTATCCGTGTGACGCAGCTGACACAGAAGATCATACGTTGTTTACGTCCAGCTGATACTCTCCAAAATGGCGCTACAGGGTGACACGGAGGAGACGAATTGTAGAATAAAGTTGTTATTTTTTTTACTTTTACGCACAAAAATTATTCTCATAGCTTCGTTAAAATTAAGGTTGAACCCCGGATTATTTTACAGATCTCCTTGCTACGTTTCTGGACTTGGGAACATTTCAGTTGTATTGCTGTCTATGCAGGGTCAGACAGCTCTCAGATTCCATCAAAAATATCTTAATTTGTGTTCCGAAGATGAACGAAGGTCTTACGGGTTTGAAACGACATAAGGGTGAGTAATTAATGACAGAATTGTCATTTTTGGGTGAACTATCCCTTTAACATTTAAAACAATTATATTTACTTTAAATGTCAGATTACCTAGAAATACATCTTTACAGTGACAATTGCACATTCTGACTTTATACAGACAGCAGTGGTCAATATGCTCTGCTCTCAGACAGCAGCAGAGGAGCTGGAGGAAACTACATTGTTAGTTCTGCTGCTCTAAATCACACAGGACTTTATGTGTGCACAGCAGAGAGAGGACAACCAGCCTATAAGACAGCCTTCAGCAACAAACAACCACTATGGGTCACTGGTGAGTATTTTTCATTTTTGAATGCTCAAATTGAAAACATTTCTAAATTGTAGCTGTAATTTCCTTCTCAGGTGTTTCTCCTCCAGTCTCTCTGATCATCAGTCCCAGCAGAACTCAACACTTCAACCTGGTCTCTGTCTCTCTGAGTTGTGAGGACCAGAGTAACTCTGATAGATGGAGAGTGAGAAGTTACACAGACCATTGGGGGCTGGAAGATTGTTCATCATCAGTGTGGGGATCACAAACAGGGTCTACATGTAAAATCAGCTCTACCATCCCATCAAACACTGGAGTGTACTGGTGTCAGACTGAATCTGGAGAGAACTATCATCCTGTTAATATCACTGTACACAGTGAGTATACAGTTCTGTATTTATTCATTTCACAGGCAGTTACAGTCAGTGCATAAAGTTGGTTGGTACAGGAAGCAGGGGTCTTCATCCTTTTAGAGGCCAATGACACCAGATAATATTTGTAGTTTTTTTATAGCATAAATAGTGTGATTAGTGTGTTCACACTGAAAATTCCAAAAATAAAAAGAGTATGTCAAATACCCAGATGATGCACTTCCACAAAACTGAAGTGTGGGAATGTTGCTCACTTCATATACTCAGCTGTCACAGCTTTAATTACTTACTGGAGGGGGCGTGGCTATCAGATTCTGATGTTGGATGACAAGATAACCTTATATAATTCATACAATAGACGGTTGAGTACATATATTTGTGGTATATGATTCGAGATGTATTCTTAACTGGGATCTATACTCTTAAAAATAAACGTTCTTTATTGGCATTGCTGCTTCCAAGGAGAACCTTTCAATTGCACAAAAGTGTCTTTATAGTGAATACTTTATTCTTTATAGTGGTACATTAGATTATTAAAATGTTCTTTACACTAAGAAAATAAATTCTATGGGAACCCACAATTGTTCTTCTGTGGCATCGCTGTGAAAACACCCTTTTAGAACCTTTATTTTTAAGCGTGTGTAGAAAGTAATTACATAATTATTTAGTCCTTAAGTCAACCAGCAAGCAAACAAGAGGTGGCTGTGGCAAGAAATAAAAAACATTTTGGTGTTAGATGCAGAAGATAAAATGGGGTTGTTGGGGGAATATAATGTCATTCAGGGGCGGTTTCTTCATTAGGGCGTTAGGGTGACGCACCAAGTGTGAAAGGGAGGGATTGTTTTCCATCACATTCAACCACAGTGAGCTAGCCGTCACCGTTCTAGACTGTTTGTTCTGCCTCTGGATATATAGTCCAATCAGCGTCAAATCACATTATGTGGAGTACCGCCCCTTTTTGGGTGATTTCACTCTGGCTAAGAATCGCGTAGACTGTTCTCATAGACTTCCATACAAATATATATTTTTAGAACTTCAGGGACTGCAGTGCAGTCTCTGTGTTCTGGAAGGGCTTTCGTCATCATATGTAACCTTAACTTGTGCAACGATTGGCGGGAACAAACATACCTCTATTAATTATCTTTAAGCTGAATTCAGCACTAGGCTGTATGGCCTGAATAAAGCAAACCAGTATCTTACCAGTAAAATTTTGATGGATGACAATTGTAATGGAGGTAAAGACAATTACAGTGACATACAGGAGTCGTTCATTATTAGACACGTGAGTCCGTTATTATTAGTGTGCAAATAAACAAACCGTGTATGTGCGCTCTCTGACAGCTTTTTACACGAGAACATTTCAGTATGATCATATCTGGCAAGTGTTTTATAATGGGCACCAGGGATGTCATGCGGTGTCATTATCATTGATTGGACAAATGCACCACGCGACCTGTTTACATACAGCATTGTGCATCCTCATGTATTGCCGACTGTACTATGTCGTTTTTCCTGAATGGACTTTTCAGACTATAAAGGTAACAATGAAACAGTCTCTTCTTCACTCCAATTGATATGTTTTCCATCACCAGTTGACATTTTCTTTGACAGTTTATACTTGTACAGTTAGGTGGTGTTTCTGTGACTGTGACCAAAGCATGTGGATGAGGCACACGATTCGGTGTTTGTTGCTAAGCATCTAACCGTAACATTTTAACATGGCATCAATTCACACTGTACAACTCTGGAACAGCAAAGCAGGGTTAAGGACCCATTCACACGGAACACATTTTTGCTTTAAAAAACTAGAGACGCAGACAGTGGAATGGCAATTTAATCATAACAGTGAAAGCTATACAATGCAGTCAACTACTCCATTTACAAAAAGTTTGTGTTTCCTCTGTTATGTAGTTGGTGTGATTCTGGAGAGTCCTGTTCATCCTGTGACGGAAGGAGATACTCTGACTGTGCGCTGCTTATATCCATATACAAGCCCACCAAACCTCAGAGCTGATTTCTATAAAGATGGATCACTCATCCAGAATCAAACTACAGAGATGATCATCTCTACTGTCTCAAAGTCACATGAGGGTTTCTACTACTGCAAACACTCAGAGAGAGGAGAGTCACCCAAGAGCTGGATCTCAGTCAGAGGTGAGAGTCAATAGAAACTGTGAGCTGATTTATTTCTTATATTCTCGTTCAGATATAGTACATGATAAAGTGCTTGTGTGTCTCTTTTTCCGTGTCTCATTCAGAATCTCAGATCTCTGTCCTCCACACACTCAGTTCTGTACTGGCAGTTTGTCCATATCTGCTAGTGACAGTCGTGCTGATTTTCAAATGCTGCAGAATGAGAGGTAAAAGGTCTGGTTTATTTGAAGCCACTGTAATCATATTTTATTGACAAACAGCTACCTCTTGTGTAGTTTTCTCTTTGACAAAGACATTGTTGTCTGTCTTTTTAGTCAAATTTGCTTTAATATAGTTAAAAGATGATTGTAGCAATAAACACAGAAAAAAACAACTGAATTCTGAGATGGTTGTGTGTGTGTGTGTGTGTGTGTGTGTTTAACAGTTTCATCTGTTGAAGAGGAAGAAACTTCTATTTGACATTCTGTTGTGATGGTGGGAAATGTCAGCTTCATCCTGAATCTCTCTTCATTTCTCATTATTATTATTAATAATTATATTAATTATTATTATTATTATTATTCACAAGCTTTTACTTGTCGACTGGCAGTTGTTTTGAGAGTGACAGCTGCATTTAAATGCAAGAATGAATCCCATTAGTTTTTGTTCTCACTGTGTAAGAAATGCAGAAGTCACTCAAATCCACAATAGCTAACCATTTGCTGTTTCTGTGTTTGCCTGCTTCACATTATAAGCACATGAGCACAACACTAATTTGTAAGCATGCATGTACAGTATATTCCTTATTTTAGCATAAGATTCCTGATTTGTATCGCTGCAATGCTCTGTATGTTTTTAAGATTTACTGTTTCCTTGTTTTATATAGTTTTTTTTTATTATCATTCTGAAGCGGATGCTTTGTTAAATTCTTTATGTGACTGTGTAACTTGAAGGTTTTACATGCCAATCTCTAAATATTTGTTGGTAAGTTTGTTGTTTCCAGAGCCAATGAATTCACATGCTTATTTTTACACATCCTGTTGTTCTGACTGGTGTGTAAAAATGCTGCATACTATTGTGCACATGGTGAGAACTGCTGGCTATGGTGACATTGTGTGTTTTTAAATGTTTTACATCAGCACCAAGTTTATGAAACAGAAGCTTATTTTTATTACAAAAATATATACCCAGGAAAGTTATTTTTACACAGAAGACAAAAACTTTAATCAAAAACTAGCTAAGTAAAATATTATAATATATTAAATGTCAAGCTATATTTACGGATTTTTAATCAATCATGAACTTCCCTAAAACAAGAAGATACCCTACCTAGGCTATGCTAATAAAGACGCACTCAGTGCTTTTCATATATCACAACTGTTCAGTGTTTTCAACTGCATAAAGTTTATTTTAGGTTTCAGACATTTAAATAGACATTTCAATTAAGTACTAGCAAAAAAACACACTGATTTCTATGGAAAGTGGCAATAATAATCCTTTCAATTAAAATTTGACGTGTTTTATTCCTATCATATACACATTGTGTAGGTAACCATTGAGTTTAATCTGTTTTTCTCCCAGTTCACTGGCCACTTACTTTCAGGTATTTCAGGAGAAATGGGTGAATTACGTGATGTTAATCCGACAGATCCACACGACATTATACTGTAGATCAACTAATCATGGTCATTAAAGGAACTCTCCACTATTTTTGAAAATAGGCTCATTTTCCAACTCCCCTAGAGTTAAACCGTTGAGTTTTACCGTTTTCGAATCCATTCAGCTGATCTCCGGGTCTGGCGGTAGCACTTTTAGCTTAGCTTAGCATAGATCATTGAATCTGATTGAATCTGATCCGTTAGCATCTCGCTCAAAAATGATCAAAGAGTTTCTATATTTTTCCTATTTAAAACTTGACTCTTCTGTAATTACATCGTGTACTAAGACCGACGGAAAATGAAAAGTTGCGATTTTCTAGGCCGATATGGCTAGGAACTATACTCTCATTCCGGCGTAATAATCAAGGAACTTTGCTGCCGTACCATGGGTGCAGCAGGCGCAATGATATTACGCAGTGCCTGAAAATAGGCTAACTTTCATCAACATAACCAATGGTACGGCTAATCAGATTCAATGATCTATGCTAAGCTGCAGCTAAAAGTGCTACCGCCAGACCCGGAGATCGGCTGAATGTATTCGAAAACGGTAAAACTCAAATGTCTAATCTATTGGGGAGTTGGAAAATAAGCCTATTTTCAAAAATAGTGGAGTGTTCCCTTAAGGTTGTTTAAACGACAAAACAAATTAATTTACACATATTTGACAATCAGAATAGGCTGTGTCATATAGTTCATGATATAGTTAACAAGTTTGTGGATATTTAGAATAAAAAAGGAAAAACTAAATAAAAGTCATACATCTGTCATACAGCGCTATATTGTGCCTGCATGCATGATGTGTCGCTATGGAAATAATAAGATGATACGTATAGATTAATTAATTAATTAATATTGCATTTTGTATTACCATTGTCCATTGACATAATATAATGCACACACACAAAAAAAAAAAAAAATCAATCTGTCATTTCATGTACTCTTGTGGTAGCCGCTTAGTCCGTTTATGCCTTGGGCCGGCTCTGGATTAACCAGAAATGAATAAAACACTTGAGCATAAGAGGAAAAGGAAGAACAACAGTTCATCAGCTCCATGTTTACTGTGAGTTTTTTTTTATTATTATTATTATTATTATAATTATTTCACACATCCACTCTGGACACACTGAAGTCGGTGTCTTGTCACATTCATCTGCATTAAATTTGTCAACAATTGTCAAATGTTAAAGCTCTTTTTGGATTTTCACATTTACACTCTAAGAAATTAGTCTGTGTAGTCCGTGTTATTCCCAATTAATTGGGAAGTTGTGGGCAGTTGTGGGCTAATGGTTAGAGAGTTGGACTTGAAACCCAAAGGTTGCGGGTTTGAGTCTCAGGTCCGGCAGGAATTGTCGGTGGGCGGAGTGAATAACCAGTGCTCTCTTCCACCCTCAATACCACAACTAAGGTGAGACTCTTGAGCAAGGCACCGAACTGCCAACTGCTCCCCAGGTGCCGCAGCAATATGGCTCACTACTGTGTGTATGCACTTGGATGGGTTAAATGCAGAGCACAAATTCCAAGTATGGGTCACCATACTTGGCTACATGTCACTTTACTTTCACTTAAGCTGGCTGCACACTAGACGATTTTCAAATCTTAAAAGATTTTAAAACCATGGGAGACCACAGACATGAAGACGATGATTAGACCAGACCACGAGACCGCACACTTGATGAATGTAGGAACGATTTCACAGTGACACGAGATCTCACAGACACTCGCGAGATCAAACGTGACTAGAGAAGAAAAACAAATAGAGGACAATCGATGTTGTCAGCTGGCTCTCCCGGCGCGCGTTCTGTTGTACAGTGAAAAACAAAGTATAGAAAAGAATATGGGTGATGTTCTCTGCTTTCATGGCATGTTTGTGGTTGCCAAGTTTCAGCTATACAGGTACATCTCAATAAATTAGAATGTCGTGGAAAAGTTCATTTATTTCAGTAATTCAACTCAAATTGTGAAACTCGTGTATTAAATAAATTCAATGCACACAGACTGAAGTAGTTTAAGTCTTTGGTTCTTTTAATTGTGATGATTTTGGCTCACATTTAACAAAAACCCACCAACAAATTAGAATATGGTGACATGACAATCAGCCAGTTAGGGGTGGGGGATTTCTCTCCACTGGATTCACAACAGACACCCAAGCATGAATACATGTTTTTTTTTTTAGGATGATGACAACGATCAATGGCACAAAACATGCCTAAACAGAGAGAGAGAGAGAGAGAGAGAGAGACTGCCTGAATGACTGAGCGCGTCCTCAATCAGGTTAAGTCATATTCATGAAAAAAATTAGTTTGCGATGTCCTAAGAGTAATGTTGTCGTAATATCCTAATATCTTTTCAATGTTTAGGGGTAACGTACTCCCACATGACTGGTGTCAGTGCCATAAAGTGAAGCATCAGCTTCAGCTTTTCCCTGTGTCGTTTATCCCAGCGTTTACTTCTCACGTCACTAGCTCCGCCCTTGCGCCATAGCTCGTGACCGGAAGAGAAGATGAGTCGTTTTGAGGGGGAGGGGAGGTTAACGTTTTTGATTAAAGATTATGAGGGCACATGAATTTTTTAAAAATAATGAAGTGCACGGATAAATTATTTATAATAAACACTACAGTATTCCATTAAAAAATAATCATTTTTCATTTTGATTTCATGGTGACTTTAAAATCGGCCTTAAAATCCTCTAGTGTGTGGCCAGCCTTAAATAGAAATTTGTACAGCATCACCTACTGGTTAGAAACTGGTTTTGCAATCAAGTATTACTGTTCATATAGTAAAAACAGCACATTATTTTCATTTTTAATTGTTGTTATTATACAGAAAGACCAAAAGCCAAAGTGAGCATTAAACCTGCTCAACATGTATTCAGAGGAGACACAGTCACTATCAGATGTGACATTGATGGTGAAGGAGTCACTAGCTGGCAGTACAGCTGGTATAAAGACGGTTCAAACAGTGTTTTCAGTTAACTACAGGAACACACATTCATGTCTGTTACTGAGTCTGACGCAGGTAAATACTCCTGTTATGGAGCAGAGAGAGAAGGATCACGAACATCAAACATCAGTGATGCAGTTACACTGACAGGTGAGTTTGATCATCTCTTCACACACACACACACACACTGGTATTTTTATCATTACAGGGAGTTGGGGAATCTCCATAAGCGTAATGGTTTTGTTGTACAAACTGTATCTTCTATCCCCTTACTCGAAACCTACCCCTCACACAAAACTACAGGCATTTTTTGATTTTCAAAACACTTCATTCTGTATGATTTATAATAATTTTTCCTAATGGGGACCAACAAAAAAAATGTCCCCACAAGGTCAAAGTTTACTGGTAATACTATACTTGTGGGGTCCTCATAACGTAGGGAATACCAGTCCATACACACTTTGCATGTTATTAAATGAGTGATTTCCCTATTCAGATAGACCCCAGACAGTTAAGTGTTTCTCCACAGAAGTGGTTGACTGAAGGAGATTCAGTGACTTTAATCTGTGAGGTTTATGGCTCCACTTCATGCTGGACACAGCTGGTACATTGAAATGGTTTCACAAATTCCGGCTTCTTTATTTCCGTGACATTAAAACTACCTCCAATTCCACCATTACAAGCCAAAAATGTAAATATATACATGCATACATATACGTATATACATACATTCATACAGAAAAACAGAAAAACCCAAACCATAATGCATTAGAATATTACTAATATTATATGACTTCATAACTTCCAAAATATTACAGTTCTTAAAAGTCATAGGATGTGAAGGTTCTTTAATTTGGTACATTAGTAAAGCTTTATTTATGTAGCAATGTTTTAACAGCATTTACAAAGTTAATATTTATAGAATAATATAAGATGTAAATAAAGACAATAAAATAGTTACAAATTGCATTAAACACATCGAATACCAATAAAAAAATATGGATGGAAGAGAATTTAATTGTTTGGAAAAACACCATTTGAGTTTGGAACAACACAAAACATGAATGACAGAATTTGTCAAACTATTTTTACATATTGTTGGAGAGGAAGTCTTGGGGTTTTAACAATCTGTGTCTTTAACCGTCTGTCATCATTCGGTCAGTATGGAGCTCAGTCCACTTCCTCTTGTGCTCTGTGAGTATTATTTTCTCTTAATGTATTCAACTTAATTGCTATTGTATTATGAAAAGGATCCAGTGATTATAGTGCTCCTGTCTTTTTTATTTTTATTTTATTCTGCTCTCAGTTTCAAATCTAGACCTAGTCCATGATATACAGTAGAGGAATAAAGAAAGACAGTTACACATACACTCAATCTTTCATTCTAATGAGTACACGTATAAGCGTGTTCTTTATTCTTATGTTTGTGTTCAGACGGTTGGCTTGATTTTCCCTAAACAGTTCTCTCTGCTTTGATGAGAAAAAATATCAAACACATGCAGTCCCAAAATGGCTTAATACCATATTCCTTTTAGGTTTAAGTTCCTTAAACTGAAACCCACTCAAACCTCAATCTGGACAGATCAAAAATCTTAAAAAATTGAGGAAACACAGCTAATACACATATTATATAGTTTTTCATTTTATGTTTTTAGTGCTGATTTCAAACATCCACTCTGGACACACTGAAGGTGAGCCAATTTGATTCATATATTTCATCTTATATATTTCATCTGTTACAAACTAGCTGAGAACATGCATGTTATATGTGAGTTTTAAAGGGTTTTAAAAAATCACAAACCTCACATAAATAGTAAAATCCGTTATAACACTTTATAATAACTTTAATTAATAAATAATTAACAAATATTATATAATGCTTAACATTTCACTAATTATTACATATTCACATTACAGATAATGTGCTTGTTAATGTTTACTAATGTACTTATTAAACATTACCTAATGATTAACACAACATTATTTATTGTAAATTAAAATGCTTACAAATATCATTAAACTTTCGA